CTTCGGTAGCAATTAATGGATATAAATGCAATATTGATGATATTTTTGTTTAAATTTTATGTATGTGATTAATAACGTCACAAAGCTACAAATAATTTGGTGCATAAATAATTTAGAAAATGTGTTAACAAAGGTAATGATTCCCAACGAAAATTGTAGGGTTCAGAATGATCTGCAATGACATAGTTCGAACATGCAAATTTTACGAAAAGCTTCAGTTAAAACATTCCCTAAAGCTTTTACATGCAATTAGCCAATCGCTGTCGTTTGCTGCCATCTATAGGTTAATATTTTAATTGAAATACCAGTAGTGTAAGTTATTGCTGTACTGATGCCACCATCTTTAGTTTTGAACCTGGTTTTACGACTCATTTTTTCTTTCAGAAGTATCTACCCTATACGACAATATTTGTGTGCATTTATACGTAACTTCTTACCACGCCTGTTTACTTGTTGGAGCACATGTCGTATCATACCATCAGTCAAGAGAATTCCAAGACTCTCTGACATTGACTTCAGCTCGCTGGCGTTCACTCGACCGTCGTGGTTTTTATCCATAAGCACAAAAGCTGCCTTCAGTTCTGTTAAGAATAAAGCAACAAATACTGAAATTAAAATTATTATTTTTTACTATATTCCACGGTAAAGGAAGGATAAGATAAAAGAAATTAAAAAACTGAAGCCTAACTTGAAAAGTTTGAAAAAACTGTTTATAAAAATTCTGATTTTGGTCTTATCAATTAAATTACACCATAAATTATGCAAATCCATTTGCTAAAAAATACTTTGAATTACGCATAGATTATTAACTTAAGTAAAATAATAACCTAATTAAAAACTGCGCTTAAAAAATAAAAACAGAACATGAACAAGAAAAACAGTTATTATTCCTAATTAACTATGTATATATTAAGTTTCATGTAGATTAAGCATACTAAGTCCTAAACTACAAAATGGGCCACCTGTGCTGTGTCCATCATGAGTATCCAAATCCGATTTTTAGAGTTATTAGCCTTCATACTTATTGCTGAACCACTAGTGAGCGAAAGGTTTGTTTTGTTTGTTAGTAATTAAGCACAAAGCTACACAACGGGTTATATGTGCTCTGCGTTCCACGGGTATCGAAACCCGGTTTATAGCGTTGTAAGTCCGCAGACATACCACTGTGCCGGGGAGGGTGGGGGTAAGGCGAAAGGAAAAATAAGTAATAAAAAGTTTATGCTTTCAACCTAAACTGCGTCTAATTCGTTGTATAGTCCAAGTGTTCCATACTGTGTTCTTCAGGTAAAGAATACCAAATAATGAAACCATAAAAAAATGAAAAAAGTGGATTAATTTTAAACACTATTTTATGTTCTTTAGAAAAATAAATTTATGTCATCATTATTAATAATACATGAAAATATGCATCAACAAATAAATAAAAGTGATCATAAACTATATTTACATATTGTTACGACAGCGGAAGTCACGCGACGCTGGAAGCATGCGCGTTAGAGTTTCTAGAAGGATCATGTCTCTTCCTGGCAACTCTAGTCTTTTCTACGCGCCCTCTATTTTAGTATACAAGCAGGCAAATAAAGCGAGATAATTAATTGAATTGCAGACAAGCAGAGATAGAGACGTACAATTGAGTCAAGCGCGGTAGTGACCGTAAGTAAAGTGCGTGAATCGTTGTGAATTATAGCGTATGTTTAAGTTAAAGCGACTGTGGAAATTAAGTGTATTGCAAAGTTGTATTGAGAAATAATAAAATAGTTTTATTTAAGAAAGGACTTGTATCGCTAAAGTTTCATCCGAAAGAAATTATACGGGAAATTAACAAACGACCAGAGACGTAACAATATAATATTGTTCTACATGTGTAAAGTTGATAACAACCTATTTAATGCACGACAACTACTAAGCAGCACGAAGATTCCTTAATTAATGATCTTACAAAGTTAACAACCAACAATAAGAAACACCCAACAATATAACCACTAAGCAGAACGAAGATTCCTTAATTAATGATTTTACAAAGTTAACAATCAACAATAAGAAACGCCCAACAATATAACCACTAAGCAGCACGAAGATTCCTTAGTTAAAAATCTTACAAATTTAACAACCAACAATAAGAAACATCCAACAATATAACCACAAAGCAGCACGAAGATTCCTTAATTAATGATCTTACAAAGTTAACAACCAACAATAAGAAACACCCAACAACATAAACACTAAGCAGCACGAAGATTCCTTAATTAATGATCTTACAAAGTTAACAACCAACAATAAGAAACACCCAACAATATAACCACTAAGCAGCACGAAGATTCCATAATTAATGATTTTGTAGAGTTAATAACCAACAATATGACCACTAAGCAGCACGAAGGTTCCTTAATTAACAATCTTATAAAGTTAACAACCAACAATAAGAAACACCCAACAATATAACCACTAAGCAGCACAAAGATTCCATAACTAATGATTTTGTAGAGTTAATAACCAACAATAAGAAACATCCAACAATATAACCACTAAGTGGTTATATTGTTGGGTGTTTCTTATTGTTGGTTGTTAACTTTGTAAGATCATTAATTAAGGAATCTTCGTGCTGCTAAGCAGCACGAAGATTCCATAATTAATGATCTTACAAAGTTAATAACCAACAAATAAAAAACACCCAACAATATAACCACTAAGCAGCACAAAGATTCCATAACTAATAATTTTGTAGAGTTAATAACCAACAATAAGAAACATCCAACAATATAACCACTAAGCAGCACGAAGATTCCTTAATTAATGATCTTACAAAGCTAATAACCAACAAATAAGAAACATCCAACAATATAACCACTAAGCAGCACGAAGATTCCATAATTAATGATTTTGTAGAGTTAAAAACCGACAATAAGAAACATTCAACAATAAAACTAGAAAGCAGCACGGAGATTCCTTAGTCAACGATGTTATTCTACATTAAATCAAGTTCCCAAATATTTGAATAACACCACAGCGGTAAATAAACTATTTTAAATGCTAAAATCATGTTTTTGTTTGTTTGTTTTCTTTGAATTTTCAAATGACAAAAAAAAAGATTGCAAAAAAAATGGACGCTTAAAGATTATTTGTTTGTTTGTTTGTTTTGGAATTTCGCGC